AGGCACGCGATGTTAACAATATGCCAAAAACTCCGCCAATAAAATAGTAACACAAGACACAAAAAAATATTCATATTGTTTCCAATAATGGAAAATTCTGTTTTCGAATCGGTAATGTGCTGCCAGCATTAGATGCAAAACGAGTTCAAGGGATTTACAAGCACAACGGATGGATTTTACGCACWTTTGTCACACATGTGCGAGATTTTAGGACAAAAATGCTTTATTGAATGATTAGCATGATCTGCAGTTTTGGGAGTTGCAATAGAAACTCTCGCCCGTGTTATTCTGGTTAATGAAAAGTTGAAAAATATCTCAAGTGTTTTCAGTATTTCATAAGCTGACGATCAGAAGACAATTCTGTGGAGATCGCATTCCACAACAAAGAACTTTCGCACGCAAATAGTGTTTGTCTTCATTTGACGCATTGTTACTTTCACTTTTTCATTGACATTTCTATTGTTCTTGCCACTTGCGGGTTGCCAAGATTTAAAGGGTTGTGTTGCCATCGCGATAGGAAACTGCTGTTTCCCTTTCGCTTTGATAGCTGAAGATTCCATCTGCTTTGAAGGGAAGCGCGATCCAATGCCGCATATCAATTTTGAATTGTTTCCCCAAAATGAACGTGAATTTATCTTGTGTTAATTTTTCCGTACTCTCATAAAAATATTCCCAGCAAAATTTCCAAGCGAATTTTGTGAAATGACTTCTGCGGAGGAGAGCCCGAAGTTGGAGGCATTAGTGTGGTTTTGAATGTGTGGTTTAGAGTTGAACAAACAATTGCTCAGCTTGTAGTTTCTGCATTACTTATTATTTTCTGTGGACGCAGCTGAAAATCTCGCTCCTGCTGTTACTTTGTACACTTTTGGCATAAACCCATTGAAAGGTATTAGAATACTTGCAGATATTGCAGCAGTTCTTTTCTTACTTTCCTAATGGAAGAACGTTTCTTCAATAAGTATATGAGTTTCACCTTTTAACACCAAGAAAATATAAAGACTGTTTTTCTTGTTGTCGAACTGGTGTCCACTCAAATAGTGAGAATTCATAGAAGTTTCAAACTATTCATAGAGAGAGTGAGTTGTCATCTCAAAATTAATTTTGGAAACGCTGCTGATGTATCAGTCATTATTAATAACCTAACACGGACCCCTTTTGGTTATGTGAATATCGCTGTTATATTTACATTTTTGCCAAGAATGGTTGATAATTTTTATCGTTCAGTTTTTGTGACAGTTATATACTATAGTAGTCCGATATCGCGATTCCGACAAATGAGGGTATTCTTAAGGAGAAGTGGGCGAAATTTTAACGCGACATCTAATAAACTGAGCGGTTAGATCGTGTAAATTCAGCAGATACTGACATCAGTTAAGCTTCGTGGAAGYTTAATACACCCTATACTGCACAGGGTATAAAACTATATAATAAAACTTACCAAGGCATCTTTTAATGCGAAAAAAATTGGAATCGAACAGCCACATCAGGACCAAATTCGGTATGAGGTAATAGTCTCATGAACAAGTGGCATATATGTTTGAACATGCAACTCATTTTTCTCAACTCTGTGCAATCACAATGCACTATAAAACGCACAAACAAAAACTCATGAACATTTGTAATGACATCGAGTTGATAGCGGTCAGTTTCGTATGAGCATGTCAACATCCCGAAAGAATCAAATCAAAGTATAGTGACATGTTGAACGATGCACAGACTTTGGACGCAGCAATGTATTCAGAAATGAATAATGGCGCTTTTAAGTTCTGGCAACGGTACGAGAACACATATGCTCAAATACCCTACTCATTTTTTGTTGCACTAAAGTCGGTGTACCATTCGATTCCTCAAACCTAAATTAGGAGGCTGCTATTGGAATGAGTCGATAGCTATGAGTATCTGGTAGTCAAGATTTTATGCGCTTTTAATGTATCTTAGTTGTATGTATATGTCACGTTTGGAAATAATATTGCCTTTAGTAATACAACAATACCAACACCAAAATKATTATAATTAAATATAAAATAAACTTACCATAGGTGCACCCAAAGGAGGTATAACTCTGACCAATATAATAAAAGTTTGCTAAATTCAAACCGCTATAAATTTAACTTGGACCATTTGAAATATAATTTTTTGATTTATAATCGTGTACGAATCAGTTCGGAAGTACTGTAACGGAAGTGATTGGCATGAGCACTGTGCATAAAATGCACCAAATGTGGTATGAGTACACATTCGCAAGTGTTTATGGTTTTGGGGATGCATCGCCAACCAAAGAGAAGCGCATAAGCAATACCAAAAATGCATTTTAGGAGCACTTATGTACATACCGCATGCATGCTGCCCCCACCGTGCGCCTTTAGTGGACGTGAGTGAGTGTACGAAAAAAAAAACTTGGAAAAAGCAAAGCATGAGCAAAAATACTTACTAGTATTACAAATGTTTTCTTTGGGGTTGCAATTCCATTTATATGTGTACACCACAACAGCTAAACAAACAAACGTATGCAGTTTATGTCTCGCAGCGCGCTAAATTTGAGGGCCCCAAGTACATAACGCATACACAGGCGAGTTTCGTCATGAGATTGCAATGCACTGCGTTGCAAGCTTAYTGCTTGGGTTTTTACATAGATTTCGGGTAGACCGACAGTCCAACAAAGTTTGCATCGACCAAACGCAATCAAAGCCAAAAGTGCAACGCCACGCCAACACAAAATGGCCGTTGCTGCCACCTATTCTGAACGGTTCTACTCAGCGACATTTAGCCAAACTGCCTTTGGTTGGATGTGACGGCCCAAGCCACAGCGCAGCAATTTATGAATCGATCGCGTCTTCCACGCCACTCATTGGCCTCTGGATGAGCTTGCGAAATTGCAAATAATGAACTTTCCGTGGCGGTTTTGTTTGCACTGAATGCAATTCAGGATTTTCATTTTCATTTTTCTTGCATTCTTGTTAGCAATGCAGCCGCTGCTGCGACAACAACAGCAACAAAACATACACGTACATTTAAGTCAACAGTCTAAAAGTCGTGATCGGCGCAGCCACCGGCACTCACTAATACCGGTCGAACAAATAAGCACAAAAGTAGATATTTATTATCCTCGCATCCTTGCGTATAAACACACATGTAGAAATGAGTGGGTGTGGGTTGGTATATGCTGCGAAATGCAATGGGTAAAAAGTGAAAATCAAATTTCAAACGCTGAGTCGCTTCGAGGATTGGGCTTCAATTGAAATTGGCCGGCGCAACAAAGCAGACGTATGTTGGACGTAAATTGGAATTGCCTTGGGTTGCCCTCATGAGCTGGCGTTCGCATCCCGACCACTGCATATTTGAAAGCAAAGTGGTGTAGCCACCGCGAAGTTTGCATTTCACGAGATGCAATTCGGTGCAGCAACCAACTTTTCAATTAGAAAGATACGCTGCACTTATTCAGTACAATGATTTTTCCGTCCCCCTTCCGTTCCTTTCCGCCTACCATGAGTACAGTCATCGGCATCGTCGTTGGTGCAGCGGTAAATATTGCATGATGTGCACATATTTCCGCTTGTTAGGCATATTTCTACAATTTTTGTGAATTTCCATGCGTTTTTTTGCATTCGTTTTCGTTCTTCCTAATCTTTGGTAATAAGAGCGCATTATCTGCGCTCTACCAAGTGCATTTGAGTTGCGRACTGTGATAAGTTTGGCAAACAGCTTCCGTCTCGCGCTTACAGCTTGGCGACTCATGATCTGCGTGCCTGCGTCTCCGAACAGTGCCAAGCACATCCACCGCAATCTATTTTGCATTCGTCGCATTCGTCGCATTCATGCAACACTGCACTTTCTGCTGCTTCTGATTTGTGGGTAACCTCGCAAAGTCGAATTTTAATTTATTTGCAACATTATGCACTTTTCGTGGGCTTACAACCATCACTAGTGCAGCAGGCAATTGTAATTATTTGAAGTGCTGCAGCACAATACGATAACGTTAGGCTGTGCATTGTTCGGCAGGCGTAAAATCAAAAAATACAAAAGCGGAATTGGAAACTAAAAACGATTTAATGCACTAGAACTTATATACTTGCGCACATACACACTTCCACATAYATGTATATAGTGAAACAAAAGAAAGAATTTTCCTTATTAGCAGTAMGTATATTCCCTATGCATATGAGGTWAGGCCGTCAGCTTTTTCGTACAGATAAACYACAATGGAAGTCGGCAATGCTTGAAAAACTGCTGAGACATAATTCAGTCTGGACTCTTTACTATTTGGGATTATGTAGTTATATTCGCGAATCGATCAATATTAGTATAATGAATCGAACTTTCTGCAATTTCGGAGGAGCGAAGAAAAAAATATATGTCTATCAATTTTGCGGAATTTCTGAAGAGATACGTTTATACTATAATAACCGAAGTCACTCTCCACCGCTCCACCTCACTGGAGCCGGTCTATGGTAATTTTGAAAATGTCGAAAATAAGCGACTAAGGATTGAACATAGATGGCGCTTTGAGCCTATCTCAAATTTTTTGAGGTGGCCAAACCAATTTCGGTTCTTCCATCAAGTTCTACGAAAATATTTCAACCTCAGTCTTGCAACAGCTGGACAACGCAGCACAAATTGACAAATTGCGTTCAACAGATTTTTGCCTTACCGCATGTAGTCACCGCTTACGCGATTATAGCCGAGTTAACAACCGCGCGCCAGCCGTTTCTTCTTTTCGCTACGTAGCRCCAATTAGATATTCCAAGTGAAGACAGGTCCTTCTCCCGTGGTCCTTCGGAGTGGAGGTCKTCMKSTTYCTCTGCTTCCCCCGGCGGGTTATCAAAAGTGGGGTCTCTCATCCGAGGCTGCTGTTGCGTTTTCATTGGGTTGGTTTTTTTACGTGGCGGGTCCCAAAAGACGATCTTACTGGAGYTTATTTTACTAGACCGCAGTAACGTAACCAGCAAAGTAAATACGTTTTAACAATCAAATGTTCTTCAATATTTTTAAAATAAAAAGTTATGTTTGAGAAATCTGGAACATATGTACTCGTTAAACGGTTTCGACGCGAAAATGCTGAAAACGCTTTAGCTCTGATAAGTGAGTCAAAAGAAAAAGTCAGCAGCGTTAAAGAACAACCCAAGAAACCTGATAAGGGAAACAAGGAAAGCAGGAACGAAATAGTCAAGACCCAAGATGTGCAATCGCATAATAAAACAGTCAGTGATACACCGTTTATGAGAGGGGTGATCTATTGGATAGAAACAATACTGTACTATGCAATATTTTATGCAGGATTATCCATCTTATTTTACATCTGCTTTACGATATATAAACTAACGTTGCCAGAGGATGCTCCGCGAGCATCGAAACTGCAGCCTTCCTTAGTTTACTACCCCAACTATGAATCCTATTATCTTAACCGTATATCTTGGAATGCTAGCGAGAAGAAGGACATCGAACTTATTGTTACCAATATAAATACCTTTCTAGAAAAATTTGGTACGCGTCGCAAGTTCGGTAATTGCAGTGTGAATGATTCTTATGGTTACAAGACTCGTAATCCGTGTGTATTCCTGAAAGTTAACCGAATCGCGGGTTTTCAAGTGGATCCCATTGAAAATGCTCGGGAATTGCAAAGGAGTGAACGTGTTTTAAAGAAAGTCATCGACAGTCTTTCTCCAGATAAACGTAAGGAACGTCTATGGATATCATGCAAATCGAATTCTTGGGTTAATATCGAATATTTTCCTCAATCACGTTCAATACCCATGGAGCAAATAAACACCCAGCAACCCGTGTATAAGACAAATAATGGCTCCTCTTACTCTCAGGGTGATTACGACCATATTGTAACGATACAAATTATAAATATACCACAAGACCAGCTTTTCAATGTTAATTGCAAGATGTTTGCGAAAAATATTGAGAATGATGACAATAATAATCCGTGGATAGGTGGTGTCAGTTTCGACATGATTTTATTGACAGATTAGCACTGAATATATAATAAAAACAAGAAGAATCGCGGATATTTTATGCATTTTTCTTTCCAGAGTTGTTTTTGAAAACGTTTTAAGAGCTTTTTACATATCCATTTGAAAGGATTCCGCCTAGCTACAGATATTTGACCGAGATTCTCAAAATGGCTGAGCTTACCGAAGTATACCTACTGTTCAGAGAACTAATGAAATTTTTGAAGTTCTAGGTTCTTTGGGTTAATAGATAATTCAATATGCATAGCTAGATTCTAGACCTTTAAACCTCAGCTCAGCTCAATCATTTTCCTCAAAATCGCATGTTCCACAGTTGTTTTCGAAGAAAAATCATCGCTTTGACTGTTTTCTACTTATTTTGCATACTTTGTGCATTAACTTTTTCGATTCAATGAAAAGTGTAGTTTTGGCGGACCAAAGGTCATCTAATTTTGTCCCTTTTGTTTTTCAAAGTCTGACATTTCGTTGAAAATTTTTGTGTTTTGCCACACATCGTGCGTCATTGAGTTTAATATGGAGAGATCGCATCACTATAGCAGTGGAGGACTATGTTTAGTAACATGAAAAATAGAGAAATAATCAGAAAATTTTCACCCGTCCTTTTCTCCCTAAGAAGTTCTGGTATGAAACGAGATGAGATATCTTCACAAAATTTTCCATATAACAGTGCTATTAAAAACTACTAAACGTGTGATCAATCACTAAATATGCCACAGACTAAAAATTTTGCATCCGAGATAATATTAGAGGGCTTTATAGGAGCCGGAGTAAAAATTGGACGATGGCAGTGGCACCACCCACTTTCGGGTGAAATCACTTGAAATCTCGGTACCCACCTGACCAATTTCGACTAAATTTAGTCCTTGCCATTCTTCTCACATTCTTATGTCACAGTGGGAAAGTGGTCGAAATCGGACTATAACCATACTTAGTTACCAGCCCATAAATCACGAAGCAATAATATAACGGTACAAAACTTTGAACGAATAATTGGTTTAGAGTATGCCACCTTATGACTAAAAATTTACCAAATACCAGTAGTTTAGGTTACTCAAGCTCATAGGTACCGAAAATGTCCATCCCACTACAGTAAACTTTTGACAGAAAATATCGGCCAATGCATAGAATATAAAATTGAAATTCAAAGAAAATATTTTTCTGACAATAGTATCTCTGTGTCTCAAAAATGGGTTGAATCGTGTTAATTTTTCCCTGAGCCCCCATATACCTAATATAAAGATTTTCGAACTTCCTGGTGTTTTTATACCACATATACCGGCCATTTCTTTAGTATGTGGCATGTTAATGGTATGTGGTATTGGCAAATTAGATAAACTAAAGTCGAAAATTAATATAAAGATTTGCCAGCACCTGAAGGAATTTCCTGGCATATGATCTCTGCAAGTTGCAAGAGAATAAATTAATCGGTTACACCCGAACTTAGCCCTCCTTACTTGTTTCTATTAATATTACAATCAAAACTAAAAACAATAATATTGTTTAAATTACTTCATTATTTCATAATTTAATTTATTAAGTTTAAGAAAATATAAATGTAAATAAGCGAAGATTTGAAAAACTTCCAAATTTTCTTAAAAATCATGGGTCTTTGTTACAAACCTATTTCTGTGTCATATTAAAACGCCAGTGGCATCGTATCACGTCATTACGGCCTTTTGGGAACCACATTTAAAACCCCAAAATAAATATTGGCGATATGCAAACGGCACAGGGGGCAGACACAATTACAAAAGCAGCTGCAGGCGACGACGCCAACGCCAACGCATTGCAGTTCCTGTGCACAGGGCCTCGTCGCTTCATCTCCAATTTTCCATTGCTGGTTTTTCATTTACTTCGTTTCCTTTATTACTCTTTTATTCATTTGCTCGTTTTGTTTGTTGCTTATTTTATTATATTCAATGCACTTCATGCCCAAAGCAGAGTCGACGGCATCTGTCTTCAACTCTCGAGTGCTACCCAACGCTAGCTCAATCGCTCAATGCTCACTTACTGAAATACACATCCGCCGCTCGGCTTACTGCCTTTCCACTGGTCAACTTCTCCTCCCACTGCTGCAACAAAGTCGCTATGCCTGAGTTTGTTGCGTTTTCCTGACTCCACACCAATCATTCAATTAGCTTTCGTCTTTCGTTCATTTCGCCACCATTCTTGGTTGAACACACGTACCCTTTGAAATGTCTTCGCAACGTTTCGTTCCATCCAGCGGCCGGCTGTATGTACCTAAGCAAACCTCATACTCATCATAATCCTTTGACCAAGCCCGTTCTCAACTACTTCGCAACTTTCTATTCTCGTTCTTTTTTTCCTTCCCTCTTTTCTTCTTTCCTGATTACAGCTTTCTGCCATAAATCTTTCTCTTCATTTTATACATGTATGTACATATGTATATGTGTAAGTGTGTTTTCACAATTTTGTTTCACCTGCATTTTCTCTATTTTTAATTAATTAATGTGCAAAGTAAAAATTCTACAAGTTGACTTATGCCAAACTCAACATTTGCACCAAGGACCAAAAGTTATAACTCAACGTAGCAGGAAGACCGTAACGGTCACCTGAAATGGTTACTCTGTTTGAATGTAGGCATTTGCGGAAGGCCTACACAATATGAAGGTTGTGAAAAGTGCAGTGTGCGTCGTTAACTATAAGTTCCCCTCACCAAGTTACTGACCCGCAGTTACCMGAAGTGAACACATACGTACTACTACTTCAAAACGCATGTTGTCCCCACCTCCTGAATCAAGCCGTTGCATCGGCTGCAACTCATCARCGGCCTTCATCCCACACCAACAACCATTTCTACAACGTACGTATTGTACATACAAACATATAGGGAGTGTAGGAAGGGATTTTTATAATTCAGAGCTTTTTGGTATGCTACGAATATTTCGTTTTAACGAAGCTTTCTAACAGCAGTGGATGAAGCAAGGCGTCGAAGTTTTTCCATACCTGCTTGTACGATACTGAATAGGCTGTGCCGTAGAATTAACTAAATTTAATAAAGAAATTTCGTTCCCCAATGYCGTTATGTATATCATWTATATGTTATAATGTTTATATATTGAATGAAAACTTATCAATCACTTAATTCTTTTGTTTCTTAGTACCCACTCTTGTCATACATTTAGTATACAGCATTTACGTATATGCTAASTCTGCTAGCCACAGACATATGACAACAAGCAAATAGAAAGATTTCAGAATTAAATTCAAGMTGCTACATCGCAAGGCATCCAACAAATAGAAATACGAAAAGTATTCTAGCAGTTCTTTGAAGTGATGGTTGTAAATCCTATTTTTCTCTTCAAAAATACAAACTGAATCCATTTGACTATGAGTACTTGGATTTGAGATAACTCAAGTTCTCAACTCAACTCAAGAGCCTCATCACTGGAAGGATATCGCTTGGTYATATAAACTTTTGCCACATTAAGCGAAGAAAACAGTGAGCTAATCCTGGCAATTTAAACGTTAGCATGCCAATTGAGACGTCTACTTCACCAGTAACTTTTTTAAAGATTTTTCCACGAATTTTGGCATTATTTGATTTTTACAGTAGTGCTTTTGAAGGAATTATGTAAATTCGACTTTAATTTGAACATTATATCTCAACTAAAACCGGTAATGAATTGTTGCTGCTGTGTTTCATAAATATTACCTTTGCTGGTATCATGGAAACTTGGTGTACCTTTCTCAGTGGGCTCATTAACGCACTGTTCTTCTCAACGCATAATTGCATTTTATGATCTGTGAAAGCTACTGTTGCGCGCCTAAAAATGTGCTAGTGCTTTTACGCTCGTTTATTTTGAATATAGCACTTTCGCCTTTTGATGGCAACTCTAACTAGAAATGTTTACGTCTGCACAGCCTTAGATTGCGGAAGTTTAGTGCGATTCTTAATGACGCATGCTGCTCGTTGCTTGAGTTTGCGGCTCCTAGACTCTTAGGTATAAATAATATTGTCTAACCAAACGAGAAATGCAAGCACTCAGTTATTCATGCGCACCTTCTAGTGTGGTTGTGTGGTGTCGACGTAATAACTGTTTCCTTCTAAGAAGAAGAAGGCATTTGYATTCTTGCCCCAAAAGACACAAACGTTTGCCAATCCTTTCGTGCTTCTCTGTCTTCTTTTCAAATCCGAACAAAAGTTTATTTATTCTAATGTTGAGCATTCCACTGGATGCGACTACAGGTGCTTATCCAGATGCTATTGTAAAGATAGGAGATGCATCTAGATGTACGCATATACGGTATGTGTTCAAGTGCTCACGATGGAAACGTTTTCCCTGCTATTTCGTCCTCCAATTGTCCGCTTAACTGTATTCACCGGAATCTGCATTCAAGCAATAAAAAGCTCTAGAGATTTTCTGAGAGTCTTAGTTAGTTTAATAAAGATAGTTACTCATGGTAGATACGTATATTTATAATATATATAATTTTTTAATGGCCCAGCATCAACTACAACTTTTATGCAGTCACAGAAAGTATATTACTGAAATTGGGTGTAGTACAAAATCGATTTATATATCGATATTTTTAATGTMAAAATCAGAATCGCCATGGCTTATAGCAAAACCTAACACACAAAAATATTCGATTATTTTCCATAAGTCGAATTCAACAAATCAGATGTCATCAAAAGCGCTCCAGTCATGCTTCAGTGGTAAGGAGGACACAAACCCGAGTCTATTTTAATTTTATATAAATAGGTTCCTAAAATATATTTCTCGCAGATCTTGAAGAAATAAGCAATGAAATTAGTACAAAAATATTAAAGAATTTAAATATGTAAAACGAGTTAATCTACTGGTTTCTACTGATACGTGGCGCAAGTCGCTGCACTACATTCAAATAATCTTTTCGTTCGCCTACCATTCAACGACTTCCTGCGTCTTCCTGCTGCCTTTTTATTTGTTTATTTGACGGTTTTCAATGGGAAAACATTCTTATTTGTGCATTTGCATTTTCGTTTGCACAGATAA